GGGGGGTGAACGAAGAAGCTGATGAGACCGCTTTGGTTGGCCCCGTGGATGGGACATTTTGTTTTAAAAAACGGACGGATGGAAGCGTCAATAAGAGCACGGTTGTTTGCAAATTATGCAAAAAGGAATTCGCATATCACCGCAGCACATCAAGCCTCAAGTATCACCTCAATGCAAAACATATAGCAGCTAGCGTGGAAGCTAGCGTGGACGTTAGCCCGACTCGGAGTACAAGGACCCACACCCAATTCGCGTTGATCAAACAGTGGCCTATGCAACAGAGAGATTTTATTTTTCATCAGGATATTGGAAGAATAGGAGGGATTGAGGTCAATCACTGGCACTTTTTTATTTTATTTTAAATGGTACACTTTATGTTGAACTATTTATTACGTTGTTGGTGCAACTGGCACTTTATGTTGAACTGTTTATTGTTTTGGCCAAGGTTATTGAGAGAGTTGGACTGAAATGTATTAGATTTTTTAAATCAACTGTTGGTAAATCAACAAAGTCTGTTATGGCCTCTGAAGCAACAGAGAGATGTTTTCTAATAGTCAGGGTTTCCAATGTTCTGAATGTACTTGAAAGTATTGTGTTATACTTAAAAAACAAAGTGTTATAGTTTACAGAAGGTCTACCTACCTATAGGCTACCTGAATCTCTGAAATGTACTATATTCCTAAATATGCTATTGCTACACTTTATGGCAAAAATTGCACTTTTCTGTTGGTCTTGGTTAAGAACCTCCTTGATAAAAATAAACAATGTTTTGTTGCTTAAGCTTATGTATTCAGTCATTATTCAATGGTATACTAAAATCCATGTGAAAAAAATTGCTTCTCACTGTTCTTAGGTCAAATATTTATATGCGATTAAAAATGCGATTAATTGCGATTAATTAATTACAAAGCCTGTAATTAATTAGATTAATTTTTTTAATCGAGTCCCGGCCCTAATTTTAACATATGAAATATGCCAATTTTGAGGTTAAGAAGTGCAATAATACAAAAAATACTTACATTAATGGCAACAGTTTACGTATTTATACTTGTTGGAATGTAGAGAAACTCTGGAACAGCTGTTTTTAAATGGTGGTGAATCTTCTCATCGCTTACCATTAGAGCTCCAGTGTTAAATATGAAAATCGAACATCAGATAAGAAAAGTGACAAAGCAGCAACACATTTTCCTCTTGTGTGCTGAGTTCTTAAAAGTGAATTGAACTTTAAAGCTGTTAATCCATAAAACCATGTCTTGCTGATGCAGCTGAGCAGTCGGCCCCGGGACAGGGGGGCCAACTGAGCTCTGATCAGTTAACACCGGGCAACAGAGGCCAATCGATCAGCAGAATTGCTTGTTGCTAAAAGCTGCTGGAGCGTGGGGTTCCTGCCACACCGGGCCTCCAAATGTCATTCACTGCATCTAATAAAAGGATGGCAGCGCTCTCCACGCTGCGATGAACTTTACATCAAGCCTCTGACTTCCACAAAAAAAGTTAGCACGTGTGGCTGCTTTGTTCCAGAGAGAAACAGGCACTTCTCTCTTTGATGCCTCTGCTGATAGTCATACTTCAAAGATGATGACGGGATATAACTGATTCTGAATGCTGTGATTAATTATTTGCATTGCTTTATCTCTACATCACGATCTAGAACAAAGGTTCCCCAGTGGCTGAGATGAGGCGATAACTAACTTTTTCATGTTCTGCCTCTCTGTGATCTTTTGAGTCCATTGGGCGCTCACAGAATGAGTCTTAATAACAATAACACAGAGCACATCTCTATGGATGCTCATGCTTGTTTGTCTGGCTGTGTGTCTACAGTTCAAAATGTCTGTCTGTATGAAGACAGTTACTTTATTTACCTGACCCCCAGTGCCTCAGATCCATATGATAGTAATTTAAGGCATAATAGAAACAGGTGAAGACTAGCAGACAAGCGGCAGTAGTCAATATGAAAATACAGAGTCTAGACAGAGCTGACCTTGAACTGCGATACAAAAGGGAGCGGCATTGGAACCGAGAATGAATAAAATGACTGAGCAGTATAACAGCTCTGGAACTTGGAAAAGCAATGATATACTGTAGAGACTAAAGTCATCCTCCCCAAAGCAACACTAAATGATTACTACGAGCCATATTGGTGGAGGTTAGATGCCCGCTAGATTGTTGCCAAACATTGTAGAAATTAAATGAAAATTTCCAGAGTTAAAACGTTCTTGAAACTAAGAAAGTTGTCCATGAAGCCTCTTGTAATTCTGAGCACATAATCAGAGTTAATAAATTGCACTGTCTGCAGATAAGACAGTTATTGTTTATTACAGGTGCAGTGACCGAATTACTGATCTAATTAAAAATATATGAAGTAGTTTGTTAGCCTGTTGTAAATTAGTAGCTTATTAATCAAGTTTACAGAGGAAGTAATGACCCAGGTAATGTATGCAGCCACAATTCAGTCTCTCTAAGGCAGGGGTCGGCAACCTTTTTGATATGAAGTGCCATTTGAAAAAAAATGTTTTATCAGCGTGCCAACGATCGAGAATTATCAACAAGGGGGGGGCGGGGGGGGGTTGAGGAGCTTGACGCTTGTGAACTATCAGCAGGAGGGCGGGGGTGCTCCATGTATTTTTTCCGTGGACCCCCGTAAAGTTGGGTTTATGTCCCCGTCCCACCCCAAAGATTTATTGGATTATCGTTGTCCAAAAAAATGATCCTTTTCCCCCCATTTAATTTTCCCTATTTGAAATGGTTTCCCATGTGTGTTTTTTTTTTTTGAACAATCCATGTAACTCCCCTATTTAGTCCCCAAATTTTTGCTTTAAAACGAAGAAGCCGGTTTTTTTTGGGGAAAACCAATTTTTTGTTTCCCCTGGTCCCCTCCCCCTCATTCCGTCACCCTTGGTAAATTTTTTTTTCATGGTCGGAAATTTAGTTCCTAGGGTGACACCTCCACTTCCTTTCGTTTCAAGTTAAAGACTAACCATAACAGGAATGTCCTAAAAAAAACCCTCAAATACCGAACGAAAACCCTAACTATTAACCTGCTTTTTGAAAAAAAAAAACCGTTTTGATTTTAAAACTTGGTTTTGACTTTCTCCCAAACAACAACCGGTTTATAAAAAACCCTCAAAAAACTTTTACACAATTTTTTGTTTCTTCCTGGTTGCGTCCCGCCAAGTTGGTAAGTTAAAAAAGACCCCCATAAAAAAAAAAAAAGAACTACAAAAACAAAACCCAAAAAGAACCAAAATTCCCTAATAATTTTTTTGTTTTTTGGACCTCCCCTTTTTTGGTTTTTTTGGGGTTTTTGTCAACCCCCCCAAAAAACAAAAACTCCCCTAAACCCTTGTACCCCCCTATATAACCCCAGGGGAGGGGTTTGGAAACATACAACCCCATGAGCAAAAAAAAAATGGAACCAAAAGGTACAAACTACACCCGTTTTAAACCAAACAACGGGAACACAAAAACCGGGGGGGTTTGTCCAAAACTTTCCCCGGCCCCCCCCACGGTTCCCCACCCCCCCTTTGGGGTTCCCCCCAAATTATCCCCTAACCGTACCCCGCCCCCGGGGAGAACCCGGAGGGAGTATCCCCCCGATATTAAAGGGGGGGGGTGGGGTTCCGAGAAACCTACAAAACGGTGAACCCAACAAACACCCTTGGGGGTCCAAAGTAAGGTCAACCCCCCCAAAAAAACCCCCCCGAAAACAAGGGGGGGGAAACTTTCCCTCAACCCCTTACCGCACCGTTTTCCCCCCACCGGGGGGACAAACTATTTAAAATTTTTAATAACGTTCCGACAACCCGAATTTAACCCTAATGGGTTAGAAAAGGCAACCAAAAAAAAGAAGGCCTTTTAAACCGGGTGGCGAATTTTCCGAACTCCTTTGATTTTTTTTTCCAATTTGAAATTTTGGTTAATTTAAGGGGGTAAACCCCCCTTTGATTAAAAAAACCAAAAATTTTTCCCCCAAAGCCCCTACTCCCTAAAAACTGGTGGTAAAAAAAAGACTTTAACCAAGAAAACACAACCCCGAAAAGGGAACCCCTTTTTTTTAGGGGGGTCCCCGTCCCACCCTGGCCGAACGTCCCCAAACAAGTTTTAACCCCCAAAAATTTATTTTTCTCTTTTTTTCAATATAATTTAAAAAAACCCCCTGTAAATTTTTTTCTGGGTTCTAACATTAAAATTCAAATTTCTTTTTCCCCTTTGGGTCAAAAATTTTTTAAAATTTCGTGGAAAATTTTTACCAAAAAAACTTAAAAAAGAACCCCGTCAATTAAGGGAAGAGGGTTCCAAAGACTTTTTTCCTTTTTTCTTTACCCCCCGGGGGTCCAACCTTTTTTGTTTTTTTTATACCAGAAAACCCCTTCCCCAGAGACCAAAACTCTTATAAAAGGGGTCCCCCTTTTCAAAAAAAAAAGAAGAATTCTAATTTTTTCCTTTTTGGGGTTTGAACCCAGCGGTTAGTCCCCGGGTTTTTTTACATAATACACATCCCTCTTTTTCTTTTTATTTTTTTTTTCCCTTTTGTCGTTTAAAAAGGGA